TGCATTATCGTGCAGTTTCTTTAACATCTATTAAAAGAATTCCTTCACAATCCTAAAAAATCGTGCCCATCAAGTTTTTTGTTGACTGGCAGACTCTGAATTTTCTTGGAGGTGCTTCACCCTTACGACGCCACTCCATTGATTCCTTTTTCGATAGAGGGTCATAATAGAGAACCATAGTTTCATCTCCCGTCACAATAGTTTCTATCACGGCTTCGGTTCCGACCCACAGAGTTTCAAAAAAGACCACGCACGCTCGACACGACGTTGTTTTTGAATAGCCGAAAGGTTTTTAGGAACCCAGCTTGTACTAACCTTATGCATACCTAAATGATCATGCATGATCCGACGAACACTTGTATCAGAAAGCTTACTAATTTCTGAGAGATCCTTGACCTTTAAACGTCGATCACTCAATACCACCTCTTCCACAATCGCAACAATATCTGCCGTTATGACCTCCGCTAGTCGACCAGTTCTTAAATCATCTTCAACGAACTCCTGCCCCATTCGAAAACGTTTTGCCCATTATTTCACTACAGAATACGAAGGAGAACTTTGGCCGTACACACCATCCAGATTTTCTTTAATAATTTTAGGTGCTAACCCTTCTTTTGTCAAAAACTTTATGACTGCCCTATACTCAATTTGCGTTTTTCTCGACATTTTTTCGGACAAGTCTTGTTTAAAATGCTGTCAATAAAAAACTATATGACTCAAGACTTCAATTTTTTTTTTCGTAACTTACTAAGATGTATATTTAAAAGAAGACAAAGTTTTATCGTGATACTGGAGCTGCATCTATGTCAGGCTGGGAAATTTTGGCGCTAACCTCGTAAAAGAGAATATACTTTTCACAAATAGCAAGGACAATGCCAATAGTAAAGTCTTTAACTCACTTTAACTCACTCATGAAAGTTTGGAATAGGTCAACGGATCTTTTGGTTCATACTGTTACGATCTCTGACTCTTCGATGAAAGTCCAGTTACTTTACTATATTTACTTAGTATAAACCAGAGCCCATAAAACCAGCGATTTTAAACGACGTCAAAAAGGACGTGAATACCAATTGATGAACGAAAATTAGTTACGTTATAATAAACGCTTTTTACTTCTTAAATAAATGCTTACTAGTATCTATGTGTTATCTCTAATTTGGTTAATTGATTTTAGAATATATTTTTTTAATTGTTTTAATTAATATTGTTTTTTTTGGGTTCCAAAATTCGACAATTCAAGTAATTAAAATATACAATCAATATAAGTTGTTGCTTTTGTTAATCATTGATTTTAATGATGTGGCATGTTTACGCAAGTGAATGAACTGATGTTTCTAAAATCAAGCACAGTATCAGAGGCAGTTACATACGCCAGCAGGCAGCGCGGCCTTTTTCGGAATATATGAATTTTGATGAACGCCAAATTTCCATATAAAAAGGTTAGTTTTAAATCCGGCAATACAAATTCTTTACTGGGTTTGCAGCGACAAATTATCATACATCCCCCTGAGAATTATCGGGCTACCCCCTCACACTGTTCAAATCTTCAAATATAGACCGTGTTTGATTTCTTTCGATTTTAATGTTTATTGTTTACCCGTTGGTCTAAAATGACTTGTTTTAGTGGTATCGAGTGCTTAAATTTTATTTTGATTAGTTAATTATTAATCTAATTTCACGATGTACAGGGCGTTTACCAATTAATATTTTTTTCCTCTTACACAACATTGTCAAAGAGGTATTTATTTCAAATCAAATAGCCTATTTTATTGTTAAATATTTTTATTATTAAGCCATGAAATTCCATAATTCAAGTATTTATGAAAAATTGGCACTAGCCAGTAGACTGACGACAAACTAATTCATTAGCAAGATTGGAAAAGTGAAGAGAACGGAACTGGTAGCTACTGAAATCTAATTCAAAAGGTACATTTTCTTATGAAGAGTCTGGACGGATTAAAATGCAACCAGATTACCGCGAATCAGATGAAGTTTATATTAAAAATGTCATTTACCTACGACGTATTAAAAAAAATGCTACTATGGTATTTTTTTAATTGTTTTTGATTTTTGGGCGTACAGTCGTAGACCATTAGGGTATTCAAAACTGCAAATATTCAACACCGCATCCGTAAAAAGAATTATAGTTGGTAGTGGTAATGTATTTCTTTTTTTTTTCTTTTTTCAAATAAACCATTTACTGTTAAACATGGTAGTTCGAAATATAACGGAGAAACTGTAACGACGTATTCAGCAAATCCAAATAAGTAAAAAAGTTGATATAAACTTATACTGATACAAAAAAAAACTCTTCTAGATTTTGGTTTCAAACTCAGTAGCTATTATTTGCATTTAAAAACAAATTTATAGCATAATAAAAGTTAGTCCGCCAAAATCCAGAAGGCCTTTTTTTAAATTGAAATAAACGAGTTTCTTGCCGAATGGAACACTTTAGGACATAAGTTGATTTGAATTTTTCATAACTCGGACCATCCTGAACCAAAACACTTTGGTTTCCAGGAAATAGTCATTATAAATAATAAAAATATAGTTAGAATGAATTATCAAAATAAGCGCACACTAAGGTAGCAAGGAAGTAACAGGAAGATTTTTTTTATGCCGACATTAGTGGGATACGAATTTTAGATGGCTGCTTGGACTGCCACAAATGAATAACTCCATTTTTAATTCAAAATTGGCTAAAAAAACTGACCGAGTTTGAAATTGTTACACCTTGGATTCTCAAAATCGAGAAAATGTAACGTACGCTTTTTTATTTACACGGCTTTGTGTAGAAAAGATACACCGTCCCCGTATATTGCTTTGGCGCACATTCGCAAAGGGACGGATTGAAACGAAAGAGAAATTTGAGAAACGTAATTCCTAACTACGATTAACTTTCGGTAATCTCATCAAGTTAATAACGGTTCGGGGCTTCCTAATGGGAAAGTTACCTCCCCGAATACTTACAAAAATGCCGTCGTTTCGTCAGGACACTCACCTCTGCGAATGGGATGTTTAGAAACAGACTTCGTTCGTTAAATCGCTCTACAATTTAGGATGATTCGGTTCGGCAGAGAGAATTGGGCACAGGTTGTCCGCTCGAGATGAGAGTGATTCGTATACAGTGAGAATTGTTGATGGGTACTTATTTGATTTAAAGATGTTCACTTAAAAAGTGATACGAGTTGTTCTATTGAAAAGGATAATAGGAAATGTCCCAAAATCAAGGTAGAATTTTTTTTTTTTGACTCATTTTATTGAAATGTGCAATTCAATTCATGTAACATTTCTTTAAAATTTATAAATTTTAACCCTGGTTGAGGAAAACCAGAATGCAACTTCAATGCAATGCAAAAATCTATCTAGACAGCAACAAACATTTTTATAAACACTATATTTGAAATTGAATATTTACAACTACTTTTTGAAAATATTGATCATATTAAAAGAATAATCACCGCAAATATGGACAAGAATGTTGTAGGGTCTGAATGTCTGAAATCAAGTATTGAATGTATTGAGGCTTTAGTAAATAAAATTTAATGTACATCATGTTATTTCCAATATTATTATGAATATTACTGTATACGTATCAATTAACATTTATATTTTTTTTATTTATGTTTTTTTGTTGGAAAATAGAATATTACGAGCTGTATGTATGTGTAATTTGTAATTTAAAAGATTTGCATAATTGATGCATACCGAAAATTATTTTTCCACTGTCGATTAATAATATTACATATCTTCACAACAATTTTCTATTATATTAAACTTTTTTCAATAAAAATTGTATATATTTAAAAAATAATAATAAGAATAAAAAAGTATATTGTGCCGACTTAAATGAACATAAATTCTATAAGAAAATATAAAAATAAAGTATTTTTGTCACCATGGAATTGTAGAATTTTCCCGAGAAAAAATTGAAAACAGCATCAAAGCTAATTGAGATTTATATCTCTTTCCTAATGTTTTGCATTTTATCTGTTCTTTAAACTTCTTTATAAAAAGCTTACATGCTTAAATATATTTTATGAACGTTTATAAATTACTTTTTACTAAAAAAATATTCACAAAAATTAAATTTTAATATTGCGTTTTCAATTTTAAATGCTTTCTCGCAAACCTAAATTACTTGAAGAAAAGGGCAAATTACATTTAGTAATAATAATAATAATAAGGATCTAAGGCAATCACTGCAGATGTGGTAAAGAATTTAGTGGGGGAATTTTATAGGAGAAGTATTAAACACTGGACATATTGAAGCCTAAGCAAATTAAAATTAAATACACATTCTTTTATTTCCAATATTGTTATGAATATCAATCAAAATTAACTTGTTTATCTTTTCTGTTTATTAAAAGTTATTGTGTTTATCAATAAAATAACTAATGTGCAGTTTACAAAAATTTCATAATTAATTTATATCGAACATTAGACTTCATTCATAATAATCTTTTTTTTTAAATACAAATTGACGATATTCTGAAAAATATATATACTCTACGCTTTGCATAAAATTAATACGACTCAACAAGTTTGACATCTGGTGAACGTATTTCAAGTTTTAGACTACGATTTTTTTTTTTTCATAAAACCTAAAAATTTTTTTCCATATTGCGTCAACTACAATAAAATTCAGAAAAAAGCATCAATGGTACGTTTCCTTCTTATTTTGTTGAATTTGATGTTTTCTTTAAACTTCTTTATAACAAAATTTACAAGCTTAGTATATTTCATGAATGTTTAGAATTTTTTGAATATATTTTCCACTAAAAAAAGCTTGGCACTAAGCAACAATCAAAACGAATAATTCCAGAGCAATTGCAATGCAAATTAAAATAATTTTGGAAAAATATTAAAAATAATTATTCACACAAAAATAATTAAATAACGAAAAAAAAATACAAATTCTACTTCATCCCCGTGGTGCGTCAGTTATTAAGAAATTAAATGAAACGTTGGCATACATTAACCAAAAATTATCTACAAACCATCTCTCGAAAATGAACCCGATGGCTGTCGAAACTTTCAAACCGCAAAATCCATCCGAAGTTTCTCGTCGCCCAAAAATTGAAAAACTTTGAAAACTGATCCGCAACGCGAAATGCGTTCTCTGTCGAGGGCAACTCGCGATGAAAACGCGCCACTTCGAACGTATCCTTCAGGAGAGCCTATATAAGTCTGACCCGGTGGTTGAAAGCCAACTAGTTTCCTATACGTTAAGAGAAGGGTGCCTCCACCTGATGCGTCTCTTCGGCCGGCGCAGGGTGGCGGACCGTCAAAACTCCCGAATTGCTATCATACTCCACCATCATTCCCGAATTTGTTTTTTTTTTACTAGTTGGTTCGCTTCACGAGCACCTCTCACGACGAGTGTTGCAAAAGTTTCCCGAATTATTTGGGGCAAAGTTTTTATCTCAAACTTTCCGCAACTCGTCCCGCTACAAGTTTTATGTCCTAAGGGCAACTTAATCTTTATCGGTTACCCCAACATTCGTTTCGAGGAGATGTGAAAAAAACTGAACGACCACCGAACGGTTCTTGGAATACCATTAAAAACTTTATGTGGAGCTAGGAGACGATCTTAGAGTCGATATGGATTTTCTTTTTGAATCCGATATGCAGAGTCTCCTGGTTCTGTGCCTCAAGAATTACTCAACTCAAGAGTGGTGTCAAAAGATCTATTGTTAGGCTTTATCTAAATCATTTCTCCGATCAGACTCCATGGCGTTGATTCTGGTTTGATTGTCGATTTCTTGCTAATCGATGACATTTCTGCCCGTCTGTTCGCGAATAGCCTGGTTTGTTAATTTTTTCTTCACAAAAGAAACATAAACAAGTTATATTAATTTTGTTATAGAGTTTTATTGGAGTTAGCAATAGTTCTTCTCAACGAGGCGATACACATGGTAGTGTTACTGGGGCTTTAAGAGGAACCAGTGATCGACAAGAACGGCTCATCAGACTTAGAGGCCGTTTTAGCATAACCCAGGTAATCCGAGATGAGTGATATCGATTTATAATGCAATTCGGTTGGTATTGCCATTAAACAAGAGGTAGAGATAGTTACTTATAGCGTCGAGTATGGAGACATAGAGAAAGGTGCAATTTGCATGTAGCGTCACTCAGGGTTCCAAAACATGTCACTTCCAGTTTCGCTGGATGAGTGATACCGATTTATAGCGAAAATAGAGCTTATGGACTACTACCATACCATCCTAGCTTAGTATTACCATTAACTTGCATGGAGCGTGACTCAGGGTGCCAAAACAATTGAAAGCATGTCACTTCTAGTTTCTTAGGCAGTAACGTGTTACAACCACGGGACAGGTTTCATCAAGCGCAAGATCCAAGTTTTCAACAAGATAATGCCAGACCACAGTCTGCTGCAATTACTAAAATCTTCCTACGCAACTCTCCTTCTGTGACCCGTAAGATCACCAGAGTTATCGCTGAATCGGTTACCGGATCTTATACTTGATGCACAGGGCGGCCAAAGAGGGCAATTGTAAAGGACAACTCCCCTCTCTAACGGAAACAGAAAAAAAGTAGTGTCAGTATCTGGAACTTTATTTAAATAAAACACTTAATTTTTGATAAAATGCGCGCATGGGTATCTACTACCGGTCCAGTGCTAAAGAGAGTTTTTAGTTTGTAGTTTATATTTTCAAAGCCAAGAAGAAAGCAGAGAGAGCGACTAACCAACCTCTTAAGGACACTTTCCAAAAAAATGCGCCCTAATTAATAGCAATCAGATTGAGAACAAGTGACTAAAAAGCTATAATAAACTTTCTATGAGTTACAAGAAAGTGGTTTTAGAAGCTCTTAATAATAATTATACAAATTCAACATAAAGAGACATTAACAAGACCAGCAAGAACTAACGTTCTTGCTGGTCTTGTTAACTTGAAAAAAAAATGCACAGACCACGCAGTACCAGAAAAGTGCAATGGTTCAGGTAGTTCCTAGAAAAATGTAATCGAGTAGGCTTTTCCTTGTAATTCTTTGAAATTGATTTGTAAAGTTAATTTAAAATTTAGCTTGCCTTTATCTTCTGTATTTCGATAGCTCCGTCGAAAGCCTACTTGATCAAACTTCAAATTTGTACTTCTTTTATACAGGGTGGCCCTCATAAAAAATCGGTTTTTCGGTTGCTAACTTGATAATTCTGCGTAAAAAAATATGAATGTGAATATTTTTATAAAAACGCAAAACATAAAAAAAAGTTACATTTAGTTTTTAATAATTTCTTTTTAATAAATTTGTTTGAAGATCTCATCTAATTGTGATTCATATTTTATAATATTACGATTATTTTTTAATTGATCACCAAGCACCAAGAGACGAAAAATTTCCACAGCAATGCTTAGTTTTAAACACAACTATTCTGAGCACCTAATTATGTAGTAAATTAAAACAGTGAAGCTAATTTATGAGCAAGTTTCGGTGAACAATATTTTTCCTTTTTCCATCGAATAAAGCAACGAACGAAAAGTAATATCAACAGCATTACATTCTAGTTTACCCCAGTTTACGTAGACAAAGCACATTATTTACGGAAGCAAAGCTCTCGCAACTAAATGACACCAAGATTTCTCGAAAAAGAGCTATGCACTTGGTTAGATAAATAAAGAGGAAGCGAATCGGCTTTGAAAGGGAGGTGCGGTCAGCGTCAGTGTCGGCCCCAATTTTCTTTCGCAACTTCAAGTTTCTTCTTTATGGCTGCTAAAAAATAATTCTAACATAGTTCAATTTCACCTAGCACATTTAACGGAAATAATTTTCAAGCAATTACACTACTATATAGCACTAATGCAATGCAGTAGTTTATTTCAAAATAAAAATTTCATTTCAAACACCTGTTCGCAAATTTTAGTTTCAACACCAGTAACAAGCGAATTGCTTCTCAAGAACTTGCCAATCTGCGAAGCTATAGTTTCATTAAACTGACTATTCATTTGTTCTGATATGAAGATTCTATCGCGGTTCAGAACTAGCCGTCTAATTTTTGCAACTGCTGCCAGAAAAACAATATTACTTCAAATTGTAAAGTCCGTTGGTATACAGTAATCAGTTAATAAAACTGAACTCCTGAAGATCGGTTTCATATATTCTTTTTATGCACAAACTATTCCCTAATAAAATTGCATGTCCTTTAATATGAGGTTTTATAAATAATATTTGCTAAATGCTAGATTTTAAGCAACTTAAATTTATTTTAATAAAACTTTTTTAATGTCAATTGCGCAGTAAACTCTGCAATCCCTCACTATAAGTTTTGCTCTGATTACAAGCATTTCGTATTATATATTTATTTTTAATTTTCATTACATATCGTCCTGTAATTATTGTATAATATTATTTTTCTACTCCCGTCTGTAAAATACCTAATTACGCATCGATCTAGCGTGCGGGAAGCGTCGCTTTACCACGTCAATTTCGTTTCCCACGGATCCGAGCCACATCGGACATTTCCGGGATTTTACCGCACGGGTTTGGGAGCAATCGGATGTTTTCGGAGATTTTACCGCACTGTTTGAATTTTAACGTTCATGTCAAATGTATCCAAAAAACTAATACACAGAAAAATGTTATGCAATATATAAGATAATTTAAATAGTACATGTTATAAGTTACAATTAAAATCTGGTGGACTAGTCGGTAAGTAAAGTGACATTTATAATTTAAGTTTCCCGCAAATATTTTACATGCCGTTAGCATGAACTTTAGTGGTTTTTACAGTTTTCATATTAATATCTTTCCAAGACCAATTCTACCATTTTTAAATATCCATGTCTCAGCACAAACTAAACAAAATTGAAGGTTTTGGCCTTCTTTTTCTTGCTTATATGATCTTAAAAATGTAATCCTATTAAAAGCTTTATCCATGGATGATTTTTCCTTCCATTTTTCTTTAAATAAACTGTCTGTCTAACGTACACAGCTAAAAAGAGACAACAATAGCAGTAGAAAATCCGATAATCTGTTATTATTTTGAATTTGTTAAATTGTGATTTTTTCGTGACGGTCGTTAAAAAAGTATATTATGCAACTATTGAGTAAAATGCGGTTTACCGCACTTGTTGCATAATATACTATTATTGTTATCTGTTTTTCTATACTGCATTTTTGTCTTAACACAAATGGAACCGGTACCTTCGCCGCCGCTGTTTTAAAAGTCCGAAGTGACCGGAAAAAGTAACAAAACTGTAGTGGACGAACTTCGGCACGAAATGGTTTGAAGTTTTCTATAAAGGATTTAAATTTCATATTCATGGTGCAAAGATAAACGTAACGTACAGTACGCTATAATACGTCTTGTTTTGGCTCTCTTCGGGCTTGTTTCGAGACGAATTTTAATATCACCCGCGATTTAGAATTCTCTTGTATCTTCATGAGTACGACGGCGTAACGTTTGGGGCTTAATGTTTTCAGGATTGTGTAACAAAATGGAGAAAACATATTTTGAGTAAAGGCAGAATTTATACGCGAATGCTGTTTGCCTAAACTCGTTCCTGGATTTATCTATTCATTGCAGATTAGAAGTTAATTGATCATCTCTCGAAACAATTTTTATGATAAGCCAAATTTTTTAAGGTTAGTGAGATTTATTTTTCTTGATTTTTTTTTTAAAGAGGGCAAAATACGAAAATAATTACATTCAATAAATCGGGTGAAAATTCACCTTTTTCCTGTTGCAAACATGATTAGGAAGCACTCTGTATACAAAATGTATTAACTTTTTCCAAGTTTGAGAGAGTTGGTAAAATATTAAAAGTTCTGCAAGCAGAAAAAAAATAACTTGAAAGTATCACACATCAACAGAATTCGCGTCATACAAAATAATTGTGTAGTGGTCTCAGTGAGTAATAAAATTTATATTTCTGGCTCCAAAGTTTTTCAACTTTTACTCAAAGAACTTGCTGAAATATTCAACTTGCTGACGTTTCGCCAATCATCCTATTGGCTTCTTCAGGGCTTTACTGAAAATGAAGCAGTAGTTTTGTAATGAGTATGAACAAGCACTATAAGGAGCTTCCATGCCGAATAGTTTATTCATGAACTTATCGGTTAATTACGTACATCATATCATTGATTAATAAATTTAATATTAATATTATTATCGGGCTCTAACAGAATTAACATTAAAAAGTTCGTTCTTCTCAGAAAATGCCTATTTT